AAATACAATTAATCTTTAAAAACTCTAAGGATACGAGATAAACTGGAAAATTGTTTAATTTGTAACAATTTTAGTAACTGAGTTGCAAATAGAAAAAGATACGAAATAGAGTAGAAAATTTTAATTTCCTCTAATCTTAGTAAGTTGAAAATTGGAAGAGAGAAATTTCTGCTACACAAAAGGATGACACATTGGGGTTCGATAAAAAAAAGCAGTGCACCAAAATATCAAAAAGCAAAGGCAATGAATTTTAAGCTTTGGGAAGCAACGAAAATTAATCGGTTCTCCTAACCAATTCTGATGAATTATATCTGATTAAATTCTCAAAGTACCTGAATTAAACTCTCGACAATAATTCCTCGAATAATTTCAATAAATTTCTCACGTTTCTTTTTTACATAACGTCATTGTTTTCCGTGTCGTCGTCGTGTGCGTCTGTCAGTTCAAGAATCGGATGAAATTTTTGCTCAGGACTTTTCCCGGTAGTTACCATAATTTTTCTAGCTTCTCCTCGGTATTCACTTTCTCCCGCACTTTTTTCCAGCGACTTCTACTATAGACACAGATTTTCGACAGACTTCGATTCTTAGCGATACTGTTTAGTATCGGGGACCAATCTTTTAGAGCCACGCGGTCCACGCAGAATCGCAGATAACCCACTGGTAAGTATGCTTGCACAGCGGGCAATGGTTCGACACATTTCTCTTGACACAGAACCTTTGTTAAAAAAAATACCGTCCTTACTATACCCAGAGTAACATTTTTTCAAAGAATTGCTAAACTTAAATTTGGATTCCTTGAAATTAAATCATCAGTGCTTCACTTTGGAATAAAAATATTTCTAATAAAATTTCTCTCATATCACGTTACCTTTACTTTTCATTTATTTATTTTAGCTATATTGAAATTTTAAATAACAGTTCTTTCGTATCACATTACCTTCGTTTTTTACTCGTTTACTTTTTGTACATTTTTCTTTTCTCTGATGAACTGTATATTATTTAGATTAGAAATGAATTACTGCTACACTAAATGCTGACAGTGGTAATTAGAATTATGATTAAGATAAGAATGTAATTTTTCACGTTTCAAATTTTGTTCAACGAACCTTGTATAACCAACCAAACTGGCCGTTACTCGTTCTCTTCACCTCTTTTCTATTTTGCATAATGCTAACTTCGATACACGCTCGTCATTCGCCTCTTGGTTTATCATTGTACAAACGTTATCGACCGGATAATATGCCTGAGCATGTTACCGGAACAGTTAGAGAAAATAAACGGTGCAATTAGAAAAGTGTCGCTTTTCCAGCGAAAAGTTTCGAAGAAAGAGAAGAAAGAAAACAGCCGTATCGGAATGTATCGAACATTTGACTATTGACATTCTTCGTTCGCAACTTCGTGTCACTGGGAAAAGTTCTACTAGTTTCCTGGAACATTTAAAAGATTCTCAAAGGGGAGAGATTAAGAATTCACTTTTCTTACTCCATTCGTGCAGTTTACGTTCTAATTAGTGAATACTACATGCTGAGGATAAATAGAACTCTATCTTACGTTCATAATTTATATTAAATAACGTTAACCCTTTCGTTGCGGCAGATTTTAATACGTAATGATAGACGACAAGTGATCTCAATAGTGACCGTAAAATCTTTCATTTTGCGTGTGAAAATTAAAGGAAAATTAAGAAATTGAAATGAAACATTTATCGTTTGCAAATTTTGTTTGTTAAATTAAAGCGAAGGAGCGGTAAAATTACGGTAAAAGTGTGACAGAAGGGGCCAAAAGCACAGCGCGAGCAGATATATTTGAAACGCCTATAGGCGGCAAGGTCACAGCGCGAGAAAGTATTCGCAGCGCCTATAGCCGCTAAGAGCGCGGCGCGGGAAAACTTTCAAACGCGCCAACAGCAGCGAAAGGGTTAAATTGAATTGAAAACATATTTAGACAGGAGTAGACTTACTTTCTTACATTATCTTACTTTTCTCTTAATTTAAGAAGTAACAGTTTCTCGTTAACAATGCCAAATGTTAATTAATTTCGTTCTATTTCAAAGAATTTCTATTCCTTTTTTTACCTCTACAAGCCAAATTAGCAATGTAATCTTACGTACTATTAATCTTAAATATCTCTATGGCACGTATGACCGCAATAACTGCATCCAAGACACGATTACATGGTTAGAACATTATTATTAAAATATCCTGCGAAGTTAAAATTGATCATATACGCCTTTATAATTTACCAGTTACAGTAAGATTTAACAATAAGACAGAGAAGTTTTAATAGTAAATGGAAAATCACTTACGCTTTATAATCAAGGAGCGAACATTGATTGCTATCGGTAGCCACTTATGTGCTTACATTTTTTTTTCTCATCGTTATGATTATCGTTACGAAGTTGTTTTTTTTTTTTTTTTAATACAACTGGCTTTCATTATGGTTCGTGTGTGTTTACCTCTTTTCCCTTTTTAATCGGAGGGATGCAAGAAACTGGTCTGCATTTTTCTCAACTGCCGATACAAACGTCACGACTCTATTTAGCATGGGTTGGCATCTTTAATTTTCCTGTGCAGATCGATCTTAAATTGCTTCGAAATACAACAACTCGAGGCCATCGTCCGAATTTTTCAACGTTTATCGGAAAATTACACTTTAACTTTGTCTCTTCTTTCTTTTCGTACGATTACAGAGGGTGAACGTTAAGAGTATTTACGATAATTTACGGTAACTATTGAACCTGCTCACTCTGTTTTACCAGCGCATTAACGATAAATATTAAAAATTAAGCGTGGTTAATGTTCGACAGGTAAGCAAGTGTAATAAAGAGGTGAATAACAAGAAATTATTCGTACTTGGTTTATCATGTTTATTTTATTTTGAAAATATCATACCAAACATTTTCAACTGTCTTTTCTCTTTGTTTAGATACTTTTCAATAGTAATTACGATGATCTTCATTGACGTTACATTCGAATCTTCGAGATGTTACTCAGCATACTATTCTCAATTGTTGACGACTACTGTTAATAGGAACTGTGGTATAATATTTTTCATACGTTGCAGAATAAATTAGTTTATGTTTTCTTTTTTAAGAATTGTTATAGGCTTCTTTAAATATTAACTTTAAAAGTCTATTTTATGTTCTCACTTTGTCTTTCCTTTTAACCTTACCTTTACGCGTCGATTTTATCTAGATTACGATGAAAAATAGCTACTAACATTTTTACAGCGATTAAATACTGTACTCTCTAATATTTCAATTTTAAACAGTAAATTTAACCTAACTCGTGCTTGTTTTACAATCAAGTTTAATTTAACTTGTTTCAACTACTTCGTTAAACGCAAGAAGGTACGTCGCATATTTTAACATTTAAATGTTACATATTTTCTCCACTTTTTTTCACGGAAATTTAGGGTAGGCTTTAAACGTTTAAATGTTGGAAACTTAAATTAACGAACAAATGGTATTAA